AATACATGTTGCAAATGTGTCTGTGCTTCATTCAAGCTGTAGACCGAGCCCTTCAGGATGCAGACCTTGGTGTAGGCAGCCTCACTCTCAGCCAGCGTCTGGTCAAACGTAGCGCGGGCAGCCTGTTTCTGTGCAAGACTTTCGTTGACTCTGCTCAGCTTCTCCGTGAGCAGACGGATGTCGTGCTGCAGTCGCTCCTTCTCCTCCTCCTCCTGCTTGATTTGACGGTTGAGTTCCTCCCGTTTAAAGCGCAAGTCCTCTATGCCTGAGACAGAAACACATTTCATCCCATGGTTACCTAAGTAAATAACATGAATATACTTATATTTTCTTTCTCTTATTTTTTTTTTATTTAAATTTTGAAAAAAAAAATAGTTCCAGCATTTTTGTGACAATAGTATAGTCTGGTGACTTTTGTAGCATTTGTGGCATTGAAAGTAAGTAAAATCAAAAAGATTTACTATCGATTCTGGGGGACACAATACATTTATTATTATTAATATTGAAATTTGTATCATCGTTTTATAACTAAATTGGGTAACTGGGGTTTAAGAGACATGTATTCTTCTAATTTATTTAAATAGTTGTCTGAGATTGGAAATTAAATTGAGCAGAAGGTACGGTAAAGCCAAAAGGTCTTATGCATTTAAAGCAATAAAAATACTACGATAATAATACTAATACTACGATTTCTTCATTTCAAAAGGGATTAATGAAATGAATTACTTAGAAACCGGAACACCGTGGCTGTTTATCTGTTAGCATTAGCCAAAGCTAGCTCAGCATTGAGAACAAGTACTATTAATTCGTACAGAAAACCAATAACTCGCGTCCTTACATTTCGCCAGCTCGTTGTTGTAGGTCTGCAGGGCAGCCGCCTGTTGTGTCATGTTGGATTTTCACCAGTAAACTCCTGCTTGTTCAGCTTCAAACGTAGTTTTACGCAAGTTAAGAGAAGGTTGCGTTCACGTCCCAGAATTCCCGGTTTTGCTTCACTCGTTGTAAATAATATTAATTACGTTCAGCAAATCTGAGACTACAAGCGGAACATGTGCCCTTCCCTTATTAACTTTTAGTGGTTTAAACGAAGGCGGGTTTTCCTTTCAACTGAACCAAAGCTCTGACCGGAATTACAATAGAGCAGATAGGCCATGCCCACGTCGAGCCTTTGATTGGCCTTTAGCAACAACGCGTCAACATTGCCGCCATAATGGTCCGGGCAAACCCGGAGACTGGCAGACAGACAGGCTAACTGAGGTACGCGGCTTGACCAAATTGATTCGCAAATCTTGGCTTAATTGATTGCACGTACACCGAGCTTAGATGGAAAGGCGCAGATATGTCAAGCCAGGTGTAGAAAATCTGCATAAGTGCGTGTTGACAGCGTTCTCAAATAGATCTCGGAATCGTTCAAAGAATCACTGATGGGAAAAATGGATAACAGTCGCGCTTCATAATTCACGGCCGCTAAACAACAGCTCCTAAAGGAGTTTTATGAAGAGGTTAACACATCATAAAAAGGCCGAAGTAGTGCAGTAATTAAGTATCAGACCAGTGACGTGCGGCCAGGGGAGGCTGATCAGGGGATCTGCGTTGAAGATGCATTTTTAGTATGACTCTACACATTTTTGACATTTTATTAAGTAAAAATCGCCGAATTTGAGTATTTCGCATTCAAATACAAGGTAGAAATCCCGGGTGAAGCAGTGGAGAGCTATCTGACAGCGCGATCCAACACAAACTGGGTCGCGTGCCCTTTTCTGTTTCTCATGGCCGTGACCCACTGATGCTGAATTGGGTCCTGGACCCTGTGGTTGTGAACCTCTGATTTACAGGAAACATTTCATATGTCGTTTCCTCACTGTAGATATAGAGAGCAAAGCAGTGACATGCGATCGGGGGGAGGGGTGGCTGATAAAAAAAGAAAACAAGTACATAAAATAAATATGAATGTTGTCCACCGATCTGTGTTATAGATGCATTTTCAGTATGACTCTACAAAAATATTTGTTATACAGCATACAATAAAGTGCAGAGAAAAGTCAGCAGGGGAGGCAGGCAGTACTCTGCCTCACCTCAAGGGGGCGTCTGAAGGTCAAAAATAAAAATTTGTGCTGCACTCATCTCTATACTTTAATCTGTTTACAGCAAATTTGAATTGCTTAGACACAAGAAGGGTGCTCTATCCATTCCTATAAAATAAACGGGTTTTTTTTTTAGGACAAATATGTCCCTGTGTATATATATTTGTGTTGCTGTAAGTGTAAATGAAAGAGGAATGCTGATGGGATATGAAGCATTACCAGGTGCATGTTGTTGGATGGATAGATAGATAGATAGATAGATAGATAGATAGATAGATAGATAGATAGATAGATAGATAGATAGATGGATAGATAGATAGATAGATAGATAGATAGATAGATAGATAGACAGATAGATAGACAGCAGTACAGCACCAAAACAATAGTAAAAAATACACAAATAGGTAAAATACAATAAAATACGAACGTGAGCAGCAGCACAATGAAAATGGGAAACCTGAACAGTGGATGTTAGTAGATTAGTGGATTAGTAGAAGTAGATAGATAGTGTTAGTAGTATCAGTAGGTAATTATTATTGCCGTGTATGGTTTTATTGATTGCAATCTCAATTATTATTTATTATAATATTTCAATTATACCATTGTTAATCATTGTTATATATATGTATGTATTTGCATGTACACTAAGTATACCACATTATCTCTGTGGTATGTATACTGTATGTATATTTAAGCAGGACTGGTATATTTATAAGGATGTTATGTGAACGGGTATAGAAATGGTTTAAATATATAAACAGTATAAATAGTTGAGTAATTAAATAATTCAATTAGATAAACAGTTAGCTGTATAGGCAGTTCCAGCTGATATATTAGTGTTTGAGGTGTCGACCAGATTTACACAACCATTATTACTATGAGCTACTATACAAATACACTGCTCAAAAAAAATAAAGGGAACACTAAAGTAACACGCTGTAGATCTGAATGAATGAAATATTTTTAATAAATACTTTGTTCTTTCCATAGTTGAATGTGCTGACAACAAAATCACACAAAAATGATCAATGAAAATCAAATGTATCAACTCATGGAGCTTTGGAGTTATACTCAAAATTAAAGTGGAAAAACACACTACAGGTAGTGTGTATGACCTCCCTACAACGCCTGGGCATGCTCCCGATGAGGCGGCGGATGTTCTCCTGAGGGATCTCCTCCCAGACCTGGACTAAAGCATCCACCAACTCCTGGACAGTCTGTGGTGCAACTTGGCGTCGGTGGATGGAGCGAGACATGATGTCCCAGATGTGCTCAAGTGGATTCAGGTCTGGGGAACGGGCGGGCCAGTCCACAACATCAATGCCTTCGGTGTTGCAGGAACTGCTGACACACTGCAGCCACATGAGGTCTAGCATTGTCTTGCATTAGGAGGAACCCAGGGCCAACCGCACCAGTCTCCATATGGTCTCACAAGGGGTCTGAGGATCTCATCTCGGTACCTAATGGCAGTCAGGCTACCTCTGGTGAGCAAATGCCACCCTACAGCGGCCCTCCAAAGAAATGCCACCCCACAGCATTGCTGACTCACTGCCAAACCGGTCATGCTAGAGGATGTTGCAGGCAGCAGAACGTTCTCCACGGCGTCTCCAGACTCTGTCACGTCTGTCACGTGTGCTCAGTGTGAACCTGCTTTCATCTGTGAAGAGCGCAGGGCGCCAGTGGCGAATTTGCCAATCATTGTGTTCTCTGGCAAATGCCAAACGTCCTGCACGGTGTTGGGCTGTAAGCACAACCCCCCACCTGTGGACGTCGGGCCCTCATACCCTCATACCCTCATGGAGTCTGTTTCTGCTGCTGGGTTGTTGCCCTCCCACGGCCTCCTCCACGCCTCCTGATGTAC